TAGGTCCTTGCTATTCATCACTTTGAATATTTCTTGCCACTCCCTTCTAGCCTGCATAGTTTCTGTTGAGAAATCAGCTGGAAGTCATATGGGCATTCACTTGTAGATAACTAACTGCTTTTCTCTTGCTGCTTTTAAGATTCTCTCTTTGTCTTTAGCCCTTGTCATTTAAATTATGATGTGTCTTGGTGTGGTCCTCTTTGGGTTCCTCTTGTTTGGTACTCTCTGTGCTTCTTGGACTTGTAAGTCTATTTCTTTCACCATGTAAGGAAAGTTTTCTGTCATTATTTCTTCAAATAGGTTTTCAATATCTTGCTCTCTCTCTTCTTCTGGCATCCCCATAATGCGAATGTTGGTACACTTGAAGTTGTCCCAGAAGCTCCTTACACTATCTTTATATTTTTGGATTCTTTTTTCTCTTCTGGTTGGGTATTTTTTGCTTCATATTTCAAATTGTTGATTAGAGTCTCAGAATCCTCTACTCTACTGTTGAGTCCCTGTATAGTATTCTTTCTTTCAGTCAGTGTGTGCTTAATTTCTGACGGGTCCTTTTCCATTTTTTTTTTTTTTTTTTGGCACTCTCACTAAGATCCTTGAAAGTCTCACTAAGTCCCTTGGAGGTTTCTAGAAGATTCTCAAGTAACCTTATAACTGTGGTTTTGAAATCTTATATTTAATAGTTTTCTTTCTTCTATTTCTTTCATTTGTGACATGTTTCTTTGTCTCTACATTTTGGGTTTGCCTGTGTTTGTTTCTATGTATTGGGTAGAGCTGCTATGTCTCCTTGAATTGGTAGAGTGGCCTTGCGTAGTAGGTGTCCTATAGGGCACAGTGGCTCAGCCTCCCCAGTCACCTGAGCTGGGCACTCTAGGTGTACCCCTTTGTGGGCTGTGAGCACAGTCTTGTTGTAGTTGAGACTTGATTACTGTTGGTTTCACTGGGAGGAATTGACCTCCTGGCCAATTGGCTGTGAGGATCAGCTGCAACTACAGTGGGAGAGCTGCTGTGCAGGAGACACCCCTATGGAGCAGGACTTGCTTCAGTGGGGCTTTGGTGCTCACTGAGTCTGCCCCTTGAGTGTGTCACTTATGGATGTGTAGAATTGTAATCTGGTATGGTCTGACACTGGCCACTGGGTACACTGGCTCTTGGGTCTCCAGGGAGGTGCAAAGTCAGCCACTGCCTGGGTCCACCTAGCAGGAGCTACAGAGAGATCTGAAGATTCCTCCTCTTTGTATCGAGTTTGGAAGTGCCCAGGTGAGGCCCAGCTATGAAGCAAGGCAGGCTGGTGCTGGTGCCAGGTCTTGGCCCTTTTATTGATAGGTTTGGGGATTCCCTGACTCAGCTGCAGCTTGTTTGATTTTAGCCTGAGCAAGGACAGGCTGTTCATATGCAAAAGCCTCTGCACACAGCCTGGGTGGGGTTGTAAATTGGATGAGGCGGGGTGTTAGGGAATCACCAGGGCAGAGCAAACAGAAATGACTGCCAGTCAGCCCTGTGACCTAGGAGGTCCCAGCATAGGAACAATGATCTCTGCCAGAACCTCCATCTGGGAGAAAGCCAACCCTGAGTTCCTGCCCTGATGCCAGACAATCCAGTTCCTCCTCATATGTGTCTGTGTCCCGAAAAGGCTCGTCCTGGTTTTGGAGCTCAGAGGAAGCGGGACCTTGTAAGTTCAGTTCGTGCACCAGCCCTGTAAGAGGAAGAGCTGGGTCTCCAGCAGCCTCTGTATCACTGAGCCCCAATCCACACTGGTTTTTATAGCCCATAGTTTTGGGAACTTCTCTTCCCAGCTCTGGGAACCTGGGCCAGGCTTCTGGTGTGGGGCAGAGACCCCTTGTTCCTCACAGGCAGCCTCTGCAGAGATGATCTCCCTCCATTCCGTGCCTCTACACTTCCTACCAGTCTCAGTGTGCTTTCTTCTTTACTTCTCTATTTGTAGGACTTCCATTCAGCAAGCTTTCTGGCGGTTCTGGATGATGGCTATTCTGTATTTTGGTTGTAATTTTGATGTAGTTGTGGGAGGCGGTGAGTACAGGCAGTTACCTATACCACCATCTTGGTTCCTCTCCCTTTTCCACTTCTCTTAGCAGCAGTCACCACTTTCTTCTGTGCATCACTTACCTAGTCCCAGTGCGGACACAGAGTGAGTATTTTCCTCTGTTCTGCTTGCTGGATTATCAACTTGTTGAAGGTAGGTCTCCTGTCTGATTAAACATTGTATTCTCTACAGTTAACATAGTTCTTTATACAAATAGATTTGTAAATATTTGAGTAAATGAATAGGAGACATGGAACAGAAGAGGTGTTTTAAAGGAGCTCAAAGCTTCTTTATTGGACTCCAGCAACCTTAGTTGTTGTTAGTAATTGGGGAAGGACTCAGTGACTTGATGAGCCAGTGACTCTGCAGGTGAACTTCTAGGAGGGAGATGTTATTCTTGTGAAGCACTGATGTTCTCCACATGGACTTAATTGGTTACATTCAGTGGGTAGTGACTTTATCTTCCTTTCCTTCTACTTATAGGCATAAATGTCCTTGGGCAAAATGGCAGTAAAAATTTAGAGTGCACTTGCTTACTCTCTGTGCACATAAGAAATCCACCACTTCTCCATCCTTATCTAATTTTTTGTCTTGATTTCATTTAATATTCTATCCAAGGGTAATCTTAGCCTCTGTGTCCAGTATAATGGCACTTTAACAACATAGATGTATGTAATTACCCTTAAGATCTCATTTAAGTATTTGAAAAATTCCAGGGGCTGGTCAAGAGATACAAGATTGAATCCTGTTTCTATCAGATACATACATCTTTTTCTTTTGGGGAAGGGGTCATAGTTTCCCTAATGAATAGCAATCAGGTTTATTAGGAAGATATGAGACACTGGTTCCATTTCAAACAATTGCCTGATATCCTTTGGCAGCCACTGAATCACACATTGTAATTGCGAGATGTGCTTGAGGCTCAGATCATTGTCTATAAAGGTAACATGCAATTTCCTTGGCAGAAGCTGTGCAAATCTGCATTATACAGCAAAAGAGTGATGTTTCCCAAGTCACATTTGAATTGTGTGCATTGGCCCCTTAAATCTGTGCCCTGCAGGTGTGTCTGGTCAATCATTACCAGGCTTCCCAACCCCACACCCCACTCCACTCACACTTTTTGGAAAGGATGCAGTGTGACTGATGCATAAAATTGCTGGATTAGAATTGCCTGGTGCCTTG